CAGGGCACACAACATTCAGAACAAGGGCTAATTCCAAACCTGTTCACTTGGGCTTTGCAGAACTTTTAAAAATATCACTTTTGGCTCCCAGATGACAGTTATGAAGATACATGAGTCAGCTCACTGCTGATATTATTCATGTAATCATTAATATTTAATGAGCATTTACTTTGTGCCTGACACTATTCTAATCACTTTGTAAGTGATCTTCTTTAATCCTCGCAGAAACCCTCTGAAGTAGGCAGTATGAACGTGCCAGCCTTACAGATGAGGAAGCTGGGAGGTAGGCAAGGTAATTGTCCTGGGTTGAGGGGTAGGCTCACAAAAGAGCTGGCAAAGGAATGTCTGATGCCAAGACTGATGTGATGGGCTAAACCAACATAACACACCTCCCGACGGATGGGTCCGTCAGGCACCAACACATTTGCTGTGAATAATTTACTACAAAACAGGAGCCAGATGCAGTGGCTCAGGCTTGCAATCTCAGCTACTTGAGAAGCAGGGGTAGGAGGACTGCTTGAGGCCAGGAGTTTAAGATCATCTTCGGCAATAGAGCGAGACCCTGCCTCTAAAAAAATTTTTGTTTCAATTATCTGGGTGCAGTAACTCACACTTGTAACCTCAGCTACTCAGGAGGCTGAGGCAGGAGGATCACTCGAGCACAGGAATTCTAGGCTGCAGTGAGCTACGATTGCACCACTCACTCCAACCTGGGTGACAGAGTGAGACTTTGACTCTAAAATAATAAAAAATAAACTACAAAGCACCTACATCACGTGAAGGCAAATAAGATCTGCTTATATCTATCCATAGATTGGGCAAGGAGCCATATCTAACACATCTAGCAACAATGCGAGGCTTTATTCTCCGGGAAAAAAAACAGTGCCAGAAACGTGCTGTGAATTTTCTTCTGCCCTCAGGATTGCCCCAAGTGTTCTGAACTCATTATCAGTGGACAGTGTACTGCTAAAATGGAATAATTTGGACTTTTCTAAATTAGTAGGAGAAAAAAATTTCTCAGTGAAACCTCGAAAACTCTGCTACCTGCCATAAGACAAGTGAACGTAAAAACCACAAAGGGAAAATGGAAATCACAACCACGCTCAGTTTGACTGTGTGTGGGGGTGCATACACGCACAGATGTTTGTGGAGAGGGGTGCTGGGGAACAGAAAGTTAAACTTGTGTCCGTGATTTTTATATTGTGCACAGATTATATGTATCATGTTTTCTGGAACTGAAGTTTTTCTAATTTAAAGCACAGAATTAAGTAACTAAATGCTGTTTTCCATTGAAATGCCACACCATAACTTAGAAGAAACCTTGGCCCTACACTTAGGACTAATAATCTTATCGCTAATTTAAGAACTGCTGGGCATCAATGAATCTGGTGGCCTTAGAAGCCCAGAGGTCACTCCCACCCACTGGCCCAGCGGGCTGCTTGGCTGGGTCCCTTCACGTGTGCCACGTAGTACTAGTTTCTCATTGTAGACCCATTCCTCTGTGGCTGCACAGCAAAATCAGTCCTATTTTTTTTTTTTTTTTTAGACGGAGCCTCGCTCTCTCCCCCAGGCTGGAGTGCAGTGGCGCGATCTCGGCCCACTGCCAGCTCCGTCTCCTGGGTTCACGCCATTCTCCTGCCTCAGCCTCCCGAGTAGCTGGGACTACAGGCGCCTGCCACCGCGCCCGGCTAATTTTTTGTATTTTTAGTAGAGACAGGGTTTCACCGAGGTCTCGATCTCCTGACCTTGTGATCCACCCGCCTCGGCCTCCCAAAGTCCTATTATTAAATGCCACCCTGTAAGCTCTCTACCCAGGAGATTCCCTGGCCTCAGAAGCAGGCTCATTGGCTGCTGCAGAGGACTGCTAAAGGCATTTGGGGCTGTTTTGGCAAGGGTCTAATCCACAGGACTATGGTAGAGAAGGTATTAAACGGGTATCAGTCCAGCCTCCGGCACATCCACATTCATCTGCCAGAGCACAGATGCCAAGTAAGGCTGGTGAGAGGCTTTAGCTGGGCTACTTTGGGCCAAGCTGAACCACTGCTTGTACAATGAGCAACTACTCCCAGGCCGATAACTTGTATTCTCACTGCTGCAACATCTAGTCCACACTTCAGTCAAGCACAAGCAGTCTAAGCCTCACATTTCTCAGTCAAAGCTATGTCTGGATTTGCATATCTGGGCTAGCCATCAGAACTTCAAAGCCAGTTTCATGATCTGCATGTCTGTGTGAGTCATCAAAATTTCAAAGAGTCCTGACGACCCCAGTGGACCCATTAGCACTCATAGCCGTTTACCTAAGGAATCCCTTTCCCTGAGGACTTCTTAGAAATAGACACTAGAGAGTAATTCTACTCAAGTTTGAACCAAAGATGTTAATTCTTTAAACTTAAAATATGACTCCAATTAGCAGATCCTAGAATATGCATATGATCCTACAGATCGCTTGAAAAAACAGCCAGAATTGCTTTGGCTTCTTTATTTAAATGGATATCTATGTTTTAATGCTTATCACATGCCTGACACAGTTCTAAATACTGTACAAATATTAATGCACTTAATTCTCATAGCAGTCCTCAGACAGAGGCACTATTACCATCACTCCCATTCTGTTGATGAACAAACTGAGGCACAGAGAGGCTAAGTAACTTGCCCAAGGCCCAAGCTGCTAAATTGTGATGTGGGAGTCAAATAAATAGGTGCCAGGATGCAGGCTCTCAACTTTTGGGTTCTGCTGCCTCTTCTTAAATATTCAAGTTTCCACCAGCCAGTGAGAATGCCAGTGAGGTATGAAGTCCACATGCAGAGCGTTACGGTTAAAAATATCCACATACAGCCGGGTGCGGTGGCTCACACCTGTAATCCCAGCACTTTGGGAGCCTGAGGGGGGTGGATCACTTGAAGTCAGGAGTTCAAACCAGCCTGGTCAACATGGCAAAACCCTGTCTCTACTAAAATTACAAAAATTAACCGGGTGTGGTGGCGCGTGCCTGTAGCCCCAGCTACTCAGTAGGCTGAGGCAGAAGAATGGTTTGAACCCGGAAGGCAGAGGTTGAATTGAGTCAACATCGTGCCTGCACTCCAGCCTGGGTGATAGAGTGTCTCAAAAACAAAACAAAAAAACACATATAAAATAATTTGAATAAATTGTTTAGCATATTTACTTTGCTTTTGTATCTGACAAATTTATAGCATATAAATCAGTGCACTGACAGGAGAGCTGTTATTTTTGAGTATTGGCCATATGCACTGTTAGGGGTTTAGCATGCCCTGTGTTTCCTTGTATGATGTGAAGCTACTGTGGCATAATTAATTTCCTTACTGTGCTGGATGAGGACCCAGATCAATGGGACTACATGCACCAAAATCTATGTTTCACATGTGATTTTATTGTACCTTGAAGGCCAACTGTTCCTCCTTGGGGAATGGGTGTGTGAACGTGGCAGTAACATAGAATGAGTGGAGATCCCTCCACTTGCCTCCTAATTCCATCACCTCCTACTTCTGCCAAGGTCTTGCTCCATCTGTTAGTTTCCCCCTCTCTTGGCTCCTGCTGCTCAGTGCACAAACATGCTCAAAAGTCTCTTCCCATCTAAGACAAGAAACAACCCTTCTGAAAATGTGATATGTGTCTTATTGGGGTGAAAAAGAGTAAGAAAGAAAAAAGAAAAGAATGCTTCAAATTTCTCTCCCTGGTTATGATGTCAATTCATCACAGCTCATTAACAATTGGATGATGGTTTATTTCTTCCTAACCTTGTGAAATGAGACCAATGTCTGGCACAGATTTCATCCCAAAGGACTACAGCAATGCATCCATATGTGTGGCGTCACATCCACAGGTGTGTAGCTGCTGCTTGGTTGTAACTGCCTGGAATGCCTAATGAGGACGAAGAAAGCCACATGCACTGGAGACTGCTTCTTAGGACTGGCAGCATTTTAATGACAATTGCTTGTGTATCTGTGGCCCCTTCAATAAAAATGACAACTGCTATGCTCATTCTGAGGTTGTACTGCAGATTCCGGGAGAGATCAGAGGTACCACTAGAGGTCTTCTAATGTTAATAAGGACTACCTACCTCCATTCTCACCACTACCAATGCAAATTAACACCCCACTGCCCAAGTGTGAAAGCCAGGGATCTCCCACACCGTGAGTTCATATTTGTTCTCAAGGTCATACACAATGTGTGCTGGAGCCAAGATTCCAAACCATCTGTGTCTACCTCCAAAGCTTATGTTCTTTCCAGAACATTCATGACCTATCCTTTTTTGTGGAATTTTCCCTAGGCCCACAAGAACCTCTCTCTTATTCACCTTCAAAGCTAAGTTCAAATGATAACGTTTTGTAATGAAGTCTCTGGTTCACAGCAGAATGAGAAAAACAGGAAAGTGTAGTATTTGTAAAGCCAAATTGTTTTCATGCAAAGGACTGTTTAAGAATATGTCTGCCTTACATTTTTGGTGTTGATTGTCATGTTAAAGAACAAAACAGTGTGGCTGGCGCAGTGGCTCACTTCCGTAATCCCAGCCCTTTGGGAGGCAGAGGCAGGAGGATCACTTGAGCCCTGGAGCTGAAGACCAGCCTGAGCAACACAGTAAGATCTTAATCAAAAGAAAAAATGATAAAATGGTGAACGGTAGGTTTCTTCTTCTTCTTCTTCTTCTTTTTTTTTTTTTTTTTTTTTTGAGATAGAGTCTTGCTTTGTCACCCAGGCTAGAGTGCTGGAGTGGAGTGACACGAGCCAGCTCACTGCAAGCTCCGCCTCCCGGGTTCAAGAGATTCTCCTGCCTCAGCCTCCTGAGCAACTGGGACTACAGGTGCATGCCACCATGCCCAGCTAATTGTGTGTGTGTGTGTGTGTGTGTGTGTTTTAGTAGAGATGGGGTTTCACCGCATTAGCCAGGATGGTCTCGATCTCCTGACCTTGTGATCCACCCGCCTTGGCCTCCCAAAATGCTGGGATTACAGGCATGAGCCACTGCACCTGGCCTGTTTTTTTTTTTTTTTTTTTAAGAAAGTAAATACCCAGAACAGTATGTGGTATGTAGTAAGTGCTCAAAACACCCACCAAACATTCCCCCGGTGCAGGCAAGGGCAGCTCCTCTGCGCTCTGCATGGCTGGGTCTAGCCTAGCATGTCGGCACTGGTGTTCTTCCCCACTGGCATTTAGGAAAACACCCTCAGTTAGCAAACAAGTGTGCCTTGGGATAGCTCAGCTTTGAGGATCCCTTCTGGGAGATGGGGCAGAGTGGCTTTGGTGGGCAGGGTTAGGAACCCTGGGTCCAGCAGTCTCTCAGTGCCTGTCAACCCCAGAGGTCATTTATTCCAGGCTTGGAGCGAGCCATTGTCCCTGGACCTCCAAAGCACCTCCAGACACTTAGCGCCAGGCAGTAACTGCAAGTGGGAGAAGAACACAATACAACTTTTTCGTTTGGGGGTAAAATCTTGGTGTTACAGGCTGAACTATATCTCCCCCAAACTCTCAAATTCATGTATTGAAGTTCTAACTGCTAGAACCTCAGAATGTGACTGTGTTTCAAGATAGGGCCTTCTTAAAGAAGTAAGTAACAGGGAGGTCAATTGGGGATGGGCCCCACTCCAACAGACTGGTGTCCTTTGAAAGAAAAGGGGATTAGAATACAGATATAGACAAAGGGAAGACCAGGTGAAGACACAGGGAGAAAGTATCCATCTATAAACCAGAGAGAGAGGTCTCGGAAGAAACCAGCGTTGGTGATACCTTGATCTCAGACTAACTTCCAGAACTGAAAAAATAAGCTTCTGTTGTTTAGGACACCCCGTCTGTAGTATTCGTATAGCAACTCTAGCAAACATTTAGGAAGCTGAAGGTTCTTCCCAAGAAGGTAACTGAGATGTCCCTATCATGGTGGGGTGACAGGAATTCTAAGACTCAGAAAAAATGATTTTAATTGACTGGGCCAGGAAAGGTCAGGTCACTGGCAGAGCAATAGCCCTGGGAGAGGCAGGGGACAGAAGACACCTGACTACAAACAGCTGAGCAAGGGGTGCCAGGCTGGTGACGGTCCATCACTTGGTTCCCACCTTCACTGGGGAATGGAGAAAGGCTTTTAAGACCTGTTTTAGGGTCTGGGTCCAGCCCAAGTGACAGACCAATCCCATCAGTGCTCAGACATCAAGAAGCCCAGTTGGCCATGGGCAGATCATCTAACGTACAATCAGGGGGATGGCTTCAATAAAAGGGGGCGACCACTGTCAGGGCCTCAGGACTTAATCCAGCCCTTTACTGAGGCAACAAAAGCCAAAGCCATCTTTCCTGTGAAACAAGGGGCAGGAGACCTCAGAAGCCTCCAGAAGTAAAACTGACATCATACAGTAGCTAGCTGCCAAGACACGGAACCAGCATTGCTGCTTTTGCTCCCAGCAGAGTGGGCACATTAGACAGCAAATGCTCAGCGTGAACAGAAATAGGAGGGAATGGTGGCAGTGAGGGCGTCTTGGTGTTCCCTCTGCCACAGTCATCTAGTTGGGATTTCTATGTCTCACTTCTTTTTTTAAAACATTCTGACAAGAATTTTATAATCAAAAGAAAACAAAAATCAAAGCTATTATCAAGAGTTGTCTGACTTCATAAGCAGCTCCAGCTTCTTATTCCCACCTGAATTGTGGTTGAGTGGGTTTGGACAGTTTTTCATGTGTGCAGAGCTTTGCTGCTGGAGCCCTGGGAGGTGGTATTTCTGCTCCGAGCAGAGGGTTCACTTTAGCCTGCTGCAATTCATATCTGCCTGGGAAGACATCCAGAATGATTCACAAACTGGTTATGGCAACAGGTAAAAAGAACAACTGTCATGAAAAGGCAGCAGCAGCAACAGCAACAGCAGCACCAGGGCAGAAAATACAAGTGTTCCTTGAAGGAAAAGTAACTAAAATATCTTTGCTAAATTTAAAAATCTATATGTGCATGTGTGTGTGGTGTACACTCAGACACACATATATCCATTAAATGATTACACATCTAATTCTACATACATACAAATCAAATGATTAATGTGAATGACTTTGCATATTCACTGCCACTATGGTCCACCAACCAATAGGAAGGAACCCAGGGGAAGTCCATGAAAGCCTGTGGCTATAAAGAATGTGGCACCACACTCCCACAGCACCTATCTGCTGGTGCAAACACTCCAGCGTGGAGTTGTCCTGCCACCTTTCAAGAGGAAGATGAGGAAATCTTGTACCCCAGACCAGGCTAAAGCCTCCTTGAGAGCAAGGACTAGGTTTCTGTCACTTGTTTGAGCTTCACTTCACTCCATCTTATTCAAGATGGCAAAGGCTAAGTACTAAGGAATTAAGGTATGACGTGTGAGCTAAGTACTGAGGGGCTCAGTGGTTCATTTGTAAAGGGTCACTTTCTGATCCACACTATGAAAGAGAAACAGAAATACACGAGAAAATGCTCTTTGGAAAGTGATCTTGTCTTGAACCTGTGGCCTACTTTGTTCTTCTCTGTCCATTCTATGACCAAAAGAGAGAAGAAAAAGTCTATCGTGAAATGCTCAATGATTCCATTTCCTTCCTACCCACTTCTACTTCCTTCTGACACTTGGCACGGCCCTCCAACTCACATACCAAACAACCTCCATCAAAGATTCTCTCCAACTCACATACCAAACAACCTCCATCAAAGATTCTCTCCAACTCACATACCAAACAACCTCCATCAAAGATTCTTTCCCTTTTCTTATTGCCTTTGGTGTCAGAAACTGCTTGTCTGTGCTCCGTCCAGGATCCATCTAACGAAGGCTGAAGCCCCACACACCTGGGATTCACTCTCTGTACCAGGAGATCTGAATTCCTAGCTCTGAAGCTTCAAAGCAAAGGAGGGAAAGAAATAGCGTGGGAAAGGCCAAAGCCAACTTAAAAATAAAAGCTTCCCATGAAAATGGAAAAAGAGCATGGGAATGCTGGAGGTGGAGAAGGAATTCCATCCAGAGACTCAAAGAATGTAAAGACACATGTATCCTTCCTTGCAAGAGTTCATCTTTGAGGTTTCCACATAATATTCCAAGCCAGGTCTTTCCAAGGAACTTTGAAATCTTGGCAAATGCTCTGAAATTCCTAAGATACATTGTGTGATCTGGTGGCAGATGAAGAGATGAAAAGTGAAACAAAATAGAGAAGAAAAGTGAGCAGAGTGCCCAACACGGAAGAGACCCCTTCCAAATGCACAAGGTCACAGCACCATGCAGGAAGGGCTCCCAAGCTGCCAGGGGCTCACAGGGGTGCTGGGAAGTCACAGATGATCATGTTACCAAAGGAGAACTGCTAAATCTTACGACTTCTGTGTTTAGGATGAGCATATGGTCCCCAGAGAGTTTGCCCACTAAACTGCTTGAAGAAGGTTTTTTAAGAGAGGTTCTACTTGGCATTTCAGGCAGGACATTTCTTTATGATGAGTCTTTTTTGCCTATTGAACAACATTTAATAGCACCCCCTAGAATCTGGACACTAAATGTCAAAGGCATATCCCAGTTATAGTGACCAACCAAAACAACTATGAACATTTAAAAACACCCCCTTAGCAATGGATTCAGGGGATATGACCTCTTGTTGAGAATTATTGGCAAGTTTTCCATGAAATTACAGATCAAGCTGTCTTCAGTGAAAAACTCTGATGAGGGAGAGTCAAGTGCTTTTCTCAACTACAACATTTCAAGCCTAGGAGAACAGCTACTGTGTAGGGTGGACACATTCTCACCAATGTTTGAAAATCCCTCACCTATGACAAATATCACCCCCAGGCTGCCAATTAGTGGCAAGAGGTGTTCTTCTGCCCCTTCCCTGCTAATAGGAAGAAGGACAACCATGGATTTTCTTTTCTTTTCTTTTTTTTTTTTTTTTTTTGTTGAGACAGGGCCTCCTCTATCACCTAGGCGGCTAGAGTACAGTGGTGCAATCATGGCTTACTGCAGCCTTAAACCCCTTGAGCTCAAGGGATCCTTCTGCCTCAGCCTCCTGAATATCTGGAACTACAGGTGCACACCACCATGCCTGACTTTTTTGTTTTTTGTTTTGTTTTGTTTTTGTAGAGACGGGGTTTCACTATGTTGCCTAGGCTGGTCTCAAACTTCTGGGCTCAAGAAATCCTCCAGCCTTGGCCTCCCAAAGTGCTAGGACTACAGGTGTGAGCCATTGCACACAGCCTAACCATAGAAATTCATAGTTCAAAAGGACTTTAGGAGATCACTTACATTTGGGAGCAGTGGTACACAGAGGGTTAAGTGGTTTGCCAGCAGTCACACAATAAAAACAAGCAAAAGCATTTACGTACATAAAGTGCTGTAGCACACAGTCAATACTTGATCATTATTTCCCACTGGTATTATCATTCCATCATCCAGAAGGCCAGCCATTGCTTTAAGTGGTATTTCTCTGGAAGGTAGAAACTCTACCTACTCACATCAAGGACAAGGCCACATGGTTTCCTCCAATGTCCCACAGGATGACCATGGAATGAAATCAAGATTCTTGTCCACAAGCCCGGCAGTGTAAAAACACCGAGTGGTGTTTTTACTAGAAATGGAAAGGAAGAAGGCTGCCTAGCTCACAAGCCTTCTAGCAAAACAGTCAGTCAAATCAAAGTTGGGCAGGGGGTAGGTAAGTAAATGCTCTGTATTCTCACCTCAGACCAGAGATGGGTTTGAAACTGATTGTGACAATATGTCTACTCCAAAGAGGTCAAGGGGTGAGGGAAACTCATGTCCAGCATGCTCTCACATGGATATGGAAAATATAGGATGAAGACAGACGGTGGCTGAGACCACTCAACGTCCCTTGACCCCCAGCACAGATGCCATCTCCTCCTGCTCCTCTTCATCTCATCTCTCAAGTTACTACCCCCATCCCTTCTCCCCACAAGATCACTGAAGGCTAATGTAGAACTCTTACTTCTAAAGCATTAATTCACTCAACATTTTAAAAGTATCCTTAAGAACTAGTCCTTGCCCTGAAGGAGTCGATGGTCCAGCAGGAGCATAAAGGCACAGACGACTCATCTGCCACCTCTACACAGTGAATGTCATGTGGAAAGTAAACTCACGATCCCCTAGGCATATTCCTTAGGACAACAGTTTCAAGAGATACACTGCCTGAAGAAAGGGTGCCAGGGCCAAATGATCTAATAATTCTGGAAAATGCTGTTACTGCCCTCCGCTTTATAAAGACTGACAGTATAAATTAATGTACTAAAGGCATTAACATATATTGCAGTGTAAAGTCTTATTAGTGCTGATCAACTCAATCATTCTCAAGCATGTTTGACTACCTAAATTTATCAACATATCATGGAGACAACATTCCGTTGAATGTCATTTGCTGGATTCTAATTGGGGTGATTGGGAATAGGTGTTAAAGAAGATGCTGCATTTTGACTGGGCCCAAAAGAAGAGTAGAGTTTCATTAGTCCCAGATGGAGGTAGAATGTGCAGTCCACTCATGCAACGCACACTCACTGAGTACTTCCTAAAAGTGAGGCCAACCCTTGGCTCTGGGGGGCTGCTACCCTGGTTTCCACTGCAAGGCAGAGTGAAAGGCACTAGAGCACTAATTTGAGAAAGGGCTTCCTATGTTTGGGGAATAGCAAGTACATGGGTAGAGTAAAGCAGGTGTAAAAAGAGAAGGAATGAGGAATAAGGCTGAAGCCAAACAGAAAAAGCATCTACTAGATCAGCTGTTTATCAGGCCACCTGTTACCTGTTAACAGCACTGGCCTAGACAGTGTTAATCATTTCTGTCTGCTGTGGCTAGTGAAGAAACCTTGAGCAAGAGCTTCCCTTCTCTAGGCCTCAGTTTCTTTATCTATAAAATGACTGGATTCTGTAAGGCTACTTGCAGCATCCACGTCTCAGTGCTCCGTGATTATAAGATATAAAAAGGCAGCACACACCAGCACTAAAGGACAGGAAGATTCTGGGGACAGGAGAATAGCTATTGGTTTAGACATACATCAAAAAATCACTTTGAAGAAAAATGGGCAGAAGAAAAATGAAGCCTGTTCCATCTTCAGCTCTCAGGGTCCAGACTCCCTCCACCTGGTATCTTAGGATTCTGCTTCTCAAATGGGAGGAATAAACATGGCATAGTTTCCAACAGTCAATTGTGCTCAAAAATGTAAAGAAAGCAAATTTGACTCTTGTACTAAAATCAAGACATATTTTAGACTAGCATGCAATATTCTCAATGTATTTTAGAGATTTAAAAATGAGGACTTAAAGATCTGGCTTGTGTGGGCTTTTTGTCTTATGACCCTGAGTCCCCTGGGTGCTCATTCACTGTCTCCCAGTGCGAGGAGTATACTTGGAGGGAAAGCTTCACTGGAAATCTCAGAGCTTTAGCCACTTAAATCTCGTAAAGACAGAAGCCTATTTATCCTGACTTAAGCTGTTCTAAAGAGACAGAAACTCACCATTGGACTGGTCTTCTCCATAGTTTTTATGGGACGGTGCATACAAGAACATCAGAGCAAAGACATACAGGTTCCACATCCCATAGATGCCCGTGAAAAAGGCACTGTTCACTTGGACTGTGACGCCGCCCCATTTCCAATGGCCTTCCGTTACCTACGGAGAAAGGATGGTGACATTCAATTGAAACAGAGAAGAAACAGAAGAAACATAACACCAATAAAGGAACCAGCCAACATGAAAACCAAGTCTCTTCTACATATGGGAAACATGGAGGGCCATGTAAGACTCCATATTTTAATCTGAATCATTTCAGTAAAAATTAAGGTCAACTGAAGGTTCTCTAGCTATGTGTCAGGCACGGTGGTCCTTATCTTGGCTACACATTAGTATCACCTAGGGAGTGTCTCTTCCTAAAAACAGCAATTCATTGCTATCCCTAAGTTAAACAAACTGTGTTTGAGCCCATCACTTATTCACAGTTTTTTTTTGTTTGTTTGTTTGTTTGTTTGTTTTTTTTTGAGACGGAGTCTCGCTCTGCCGCCCAGGCTGGAGTGCAGTGGCCGGATCTCAGCTCACTGCAAGCTCCGCCTCCCGGGTTTACGCCATTCTCCTGCCTCAGCCTCCCGAGTAGCTGGGACTACAGGCGCCCGCCACCTCGCCCGGCTAGTTTTTTGTATTTTTTACTAGAGACGGGGTTTCACCGGGTTAGCCAGGATGGTCTTCATCTCCTGACCTCGTGATCCGCCCGTCTCGGCCTCCCAAAGTGCTGGGATTACAGGCTTGAGCCACCGCGCCCGGCCTCTATTCACAGTTTTAATTCCTCCTCTGCTGTCTGTCTTCCCAGCTTAGATGTCAATTCCCTGCAGGCAGAGACCAGTTCTCTTTGCTGCCATGTCTTTAGGACCTGATGCACCATAGATTATTTCAAATCCAGTGTCTACCATTCACTCTGCTTAATGGTAAGACAAGATGAAGACTCCAAACTTCAGAACTTCAGTGTCCGTAAGTGTAAAATAAAAGCTTACAGGTTATTGAAGAGAATTAAGAAAAATATTTCTAGAAACTGCCTGGCATACAGTAAACACCCAGTAAATATTAGTTATTCCTATAACATCACTCGAAGTAAGCCACTCATGAAGATAATTATGAAGCTTTCATATGCTTTGAAATTCTGCAAGAGATGTTTTGAAGCTGTTTTTGTCTGTGTTAATGATTTGGTAATTGTCTTAAGGGCTGCCTAAAGATATATGGATTATACTAAGAACTGTCAACAGAGCTGCTGAGCTGGGTGACTAATTTGTTCCCAGCTCTGACACAAATGAAATGATTTCGACCACTTCTGCTTACTACAGGATACTTAAAATGGAAATAGAAGAAAGTATTGGATAAATGTTCCTTTGACAGCCGAATGAGGCTGCATTGTATAAACCTTCTCTAGGAATCACTTTTAAATTGTAAGATGGCAGGCTGGATTGAAATGTTAAGAACTTTCACAAGCAGGTGGATTTCACTGCCTGTTTATGATACAGTGGGTCTGTGTTCATTATCTTCTGTATAATCCATAACCCATTTGGGGCCCTAGGCCAAATTAAGGTCTAAGTATAGGTATTTTCTTCTGAAAGACCAGGAGTGTCAGTTAACCACATTAACCAATTATAGACTCGGCAGTTTCAGTTTGGCCTTGGTGACACATAATTCTTCACTTTTTGTGACTCATAAACAAACCACCATTATGAACTCTTATTTATTTTGGAAAATAATGCATTTTATATAAAATGCCCAGAGTATTTTTTGGCAAAGAAGGATTTCATAACCATTACTAATTTTAGGACAATGTACCAGCATTCAAGCTACTTAGGACTTCTTAGAAATGTCTCCAAATGTCGCTCTCCTTACTTTTAAGTGCAGAATATGCTAACTTTATAAAAACTATGTTACTTAGAGCATCTTATGATTTTTACTGCATATAATGGAAATGAAAAGAAAGCATTAAGATAGTTTCCAGAAATATATGTACCTGCTGTCATAACACAGAGAACTCTTCTGTATGTGATGAAGGAGGGAGGCTAGGCTGCCATCCTTCCTAGCTACAAGAGAGAATATGGCAATATGGCAGCTCTTCTACTCTGTTAAGGCAGTGGACTCTTCAGCTCAGGGAAGGGCCAGTAAGAGACCCTACTACTTCCTGTGACAGAAGTTGGAAATACTCAGTATTGACAATTTTAATGACATTGATTCTTGCTAGGATTGACATGACTGACCCATCTAAGGAAACACCAACCTGTGTGCCTGGTACACAGTGGTGCTCAGTAGACGTATGTTGAATGAACAGAGGTAAAGTACAGGCATGTGTAGGGACTCCAGGACAAATACATGGAGGTAGAAAGTGGAGATGGAAACAACCACTCTTAATAAGTATTTGACTGAAAAGTAAAGAGAAAATATTGCAGTCCACAGCAAGTCATAATAATTGAATTTAAAAGTGAGAGGAGATGCCAATATGTGAAAAGTGTTATTCATTTAAAATATTGCTTTCTGTTATATTTATTTAAAATAAGTGGTTAATACAAATATTAGCAAAGCTAAGATTCTTTTGTATTCATAACAAGGATAAGCATATTTATTCCATGCTAATGATGTGCCACATACAATACTAAACCTTTTACATGAAACACATTATTTGGTCTTCTTAATGATGCTGTGAGGTAGGTAGGTAGGTAATATTTCCATTCAACACATGGGTAAACTGTGGCACAGCAAGATGTAGTATCTTGCCCAAGATTGCTCAGCCAGAGAGTCATGGCTCTGACTCCAAAAGAAGGTATTCTTAACCATTATACAACACAAAGGTAGGAATGTTATCTTAAACAGGGGTTGATCTCTGAAGGTAGCACCTGCTCTGAAGGTAGCACATGAGGCAACGACTGTGTAAGGTCAAATTTCCTTCTGAAATTCACTTCATTGCCCATCATGTACCTTACTAATACAACATACACACACAGGTTTGTATATTCAGATCTGTATAGCATGCACTGTATATCCTGGACATAGTAACGTATGGTATAAATAAATTGGATATATAAACAAAATAAAAACTTACAGTAGAACCACTGGAATGAGATGCCCATAGTATGCCTTTGCACACACTAAGCCTGACAGGAAACATCAGACTCCTGCTCCCATCTCATACTTGCTCTGGGACACATTGTTTAGAGTGGAATTGCAGAACTACACATCCTACTGAATGTGCAATCTGTAAATGTGGTGTTTCCTGCCGTGGGCAAAGAGCTGAACTGCAGAAATAAACGGTATAGATAGTGTAACTCTACCCTTTGATGGCTAGCTTGTTTTTCCCTCTCCTCTCCCAATTATTCATGCCTGAGACATCCTCAGCTCTGAGCACATTCCCACCAATATGTACCACAATAAGCGGCCTCAACAGAGCAGGCCTTGTAAATCCAAAATCATACTAATGCCAAGGCGGAGGTAACAGTCTCCCCCTTTTAACTTTGAGAGAAAAATCAGGTAGCCCCAGCCCCCCTCCGCCAAAACTCCCCCACCAAAAAAAATTCCCAAATCTCACCCTCTGCGTAAGTCTTCTTTCTAAAAGTCCCTGTTTTTCCTGATTTTACATTTGAACAATTTACTTTTGTGTGAAACCACCCAATTATACCCCTGGAGCCAAGTGAAGGTCAAATCCCTTTACACCCAGTAGTCTTGACAACCAACATTCCACTTAACAACAAGATTTCCAAATCCCAGACCCAGGCTCTCTTACCGGAAACATTTCCTCTGTAAGTAACAGAATGAAGTGATCACACACACACAAAAGAGCTGGGGACAGGCTCTCTGGGAGTTTGCTGCATGTGGCTTGACCTGAATGTCAGGCACCTGGGGGTCCCCTTAATGAAGGTCGGTGACCTTCTCCCCTGCACTGCACTTCTGTTCCCTACTGCCGCCACCTCTAAATGGAACACCTCTTTATTTTCTAGAGGGAAGGGGCTGAAATACCAGACTGCGATGTACCATCTCTTGGTTGCTATGACTGAGGCCATTAAAATGGCAGGCATTAAAAGACTGCACCTCAGTACCCAGCTACAAAGCCTCAAGGTCACTGCATTCCACAGCTTCCCGTCGCCTTTCATTCCTGGCCTCAGAGCTTCAATATCCTGGCGAGATCCCCTCGCATTATATTTCATGAGGCTTAAATGCAAGCTCTCCCACAGCAAGCCCGAGAGTATAATGGGGGTTTTAATACATTCCTTTTACCTAAGGCTGGGATCCATTTCAAAAAGTTACCCAATAGGTTTCCTTTCAGGTGAGCTCATTGCTCTGACATTCCAAAATGACATTAAAAAATAAACCCTCTGATGACTATATTAATACAGTACCTGGGGCACTGAGAGTTATGCCGGAAAATGTCTTAGATGTCTATAAATAAATCTTTAAAAAAAAAACCCAGCAGGAGGAATGTGAGGAGCTAATGGAATTCAAAAGGCCTCATTGCTACCCCCTTAGAGTTGAAATCCACTCCGGGCCGACTGTCGCAGCAGATATAAAAAGCCAGCCACAGGCTGAAGCTGTATTAGAAAATACTGAGGCAATAGAATATTAATCTTTTTCTCCAAAGAAAAGCCACAAACTATGCTCCTTGGAAGATGGCTTCCTTTGCTGTAAGAAGTACACTAATTAAACATGTACAAGGTTAAATCCTGGCAACACGCAGCTGCTTCAGGGATCAGTCCTTCTTGACTTCAGGTGGAAGGCACTCCCCACAGAGGTAAGACATACATGAGGCAGTGTGGGGAGAATGACGTCAGCTTCCCAAATTGGCACAAGGACCTGTGTGTGGCCTTAGGACCAAAAGCACCCTTCTTTCTGCCTTCCTGAAAACATATCTTGAAATTGCCTTTTATGTCTCAACCCATCTTCCTTGAGATTCTGTTTCTCCAAGGAAGTGCTCCGTGCCCTCTCAGCCTTGCAGACCTGGC